CATAAAGGGGAAGAAAAACAACACGCCATTTGGCCATGAATGCATGTTAACACTTGGTCTTGAAACCAGAGTTTCAAATGGCAAAAACAGAAAAGATCCCCTTCTTTTAAGCTTTCCTCTTTATATATTGTCATATAATGCTCTGGAATGCTGCAGTTTCTCAGGCGGACAGAAAAAAGTAGCCAGTACTATGGGAGGAGCTCTATGCTACGTAATAGGAGTAAACACATGCTGTTTAACATACCTTGGCCAGTAAACATCTTCTTGACATAAAAGTTAAGGGTTAGATTGTCAGTTCTCAGTGACACATGCTGTGAATGAAGCATCACTGGGCAGGGGCCTCTGGTACAGTTTAAGGCAGCTCTAACCCATCACAAAATGCTGTGCTTGTGTTGTCACCTCACTTCGGCCCATGTCCTGAGCGTGCAAAAAGACAAGGGCACTGAAGCACTCTTCCCAGCTGTGTCTTGGTATGAAGGAGCCAGAGCTGGGGAAAACTCTGTACCACTGCATTTATTAATCTTTCATACCTTGACATCCATTACACTGAATTTCATCCAGCAATGATCCATGTATACAAGAATGTGAAACACTATGGTCTCAGTTCCAGCTGAGTAGTGCTGGCAAAGGGCAAATGACAGCTTAAAAGGTTACTGCAACTGTTAATGTAGACATGGCTCCTAGAGACTGTTCAGCAGTCTGTGCCTCTCTTTTGATAATTCTATATATTAGTGTGTGCATGTACATATATATATTTTAATATATATCTGCGCTTTTATTGATGGGTTCAGAATTGGGCCACTTTGACTATACCATCCTGTTCCTGCTTCTGTAATATGCCTATCCCCAAAATATCTGAATGCCTTCCAATAATGACTAAGTTCATGATTGTGTTCATGTTCTCTGTTCCACTCTGGAGGGGCAGAAGAGCATGCAATGCAGGGTTGGTTTGTTTTTTTTTTCTTTTGCTGGATTTTTAGTTATATGCATGTACATTGTTCCAACCTTATGTAAGTTAGAGTATTCACACCCCAAGAGATGCTTTCCATATTTGCACTGACCCTTCATCAGTCTTCACTGAATTGCTCTGGCCAGAAGTTTTACCTCCCAGACATAAAACAATTATTTTGCTTATGTGGAGAATCTAGAGTCTTGTCAGTAAAAGTTTATACATGTTCTGGAACTAAGATCTTTACATTCCAGATATAATCAGACTAGGTAATTATTTTATTCCTATTTTTCTCTTCTTTGTTGCTTATAATTTTATTTTTGTCTTACTTTGCAATGAAGCTGATTGTTTTTGTTCAATGCAATATGGTATTGTGCGGGGGCTTATCAGGGAAGCTAAACTTCTTTATACAAAAGCAGAATTAACTCACTATTGTGGTTGTATGTTCTAACTGAAATTACTCTGAAAAGCAGGAAAGGACATTCTGTGAGCTATTATTGTTTTGCAAAGTTTAAGAATGTTCTGAGCTGTCTCTTTGTTTACCTTTGGTATCTTCAGGACTTGTCTGTATACCTGCCACTGTGCTCTAGGTCTAACTGTGCATCATGCTTGGTCAGCCTCATTCCTGTTTTTCTCCCATATAAGAAGATAATTTTTGTTACTTGAATGCCATACCTACATAAGCTACACACTCATAACCTGAGCAGCAACAAGATAGACTCAGCCACACAAAACTCAGTTCTTCACCAGGAGAAACACACAGCCTCTGCACAAGGGTCAAGGCACTGAGCTGGGACTGGGGAGTGCCCATCACTCTGTAAGCAGGCAACATGCGGGACGCTGCAAGCATCTGCTGGCAGTCCTCCACCCTACGCTTTCATATGCGACTCTTAAACTGAGAGCTGCCACTGCAGGGCTCTGCATAACAGCATGCCCCAGGAAGTGCACGGGAGCCGAGGGGCAAGTTGCCAGTTGTTATTTGGAAATGTGCATTTATTTCTCCAGAGTGCTCCTGCCTTTGCTGCATAGCCGATATTGCTATCCATCTGCTAAGCTGGACACTGACAACTCCTAGCATCTTCTTCCCTTTCCCTGCTGCTGGGCTGCAGAAAATGCGGTGTCCTCACTTCCCCCACAGCTGCCAGCTGCATCTGTGTTTCACTCACAGCGTGAGTTGCAGGAGAAGGACCTTTATTTGGTAAGTGTGGAGGCCTGGCTGCCAGTGAGCCACAGCCTCCTCCAGCCTGGGACTCCCTGCCTACCCGAGGCCCTTCCAAAAACTTTTTGGTTGCCACTTTTATCCCGCTCTAGTACCACATGGCTTTTCAGAGCACTTTGCTTTATTCACTGAGGCATGCACTCCTTGCAAAGGGGATGCTGGGCAGTTTTTGTCACTCCTCTCCATGTACCCAACAGCCTGCTCACTTGTGGGGACAGAGCCCTTAGTAGCCTTCTTCTGAAGCACCCACTGTACCACAAACCTTTGCTTTCATGCTCTTTTGGATTCAAAAGTTTGATCGTGGCGTATCTGCGTCTTTACAGCATGCTTGCACAACGCAAAGCACAAAATTCAGCTAACAAACCAGCACCGGGCTCATGCAGTGCTATTTACTGTGTCATCCACAAAATCGCAAGCAAAAGTGTTCAAAATGACAGGAAATCTGTTCTATTTTGGAGTGAATCTTTCTGAACTTGTAAAAAACCTTGTTGTTGTGCAAAGCCAGGACATCGTTGGCCATTTAACAGCCATCAGATCCTCAGCCTAGCTCTCAAATATTAGACTTTAGTTGGCTAATACTACAATCTGCCTCTAAAGGAAAAGTTTTGCTAGGTTCAAATACTTCAAAAAGACAGCAAGGCTCCCTTTTGTACTTGAAGGACTTTGCTGATATGTGGAACTTTTTAAAAACTTAAAGCTTAGGATTTCAACAGAAAAGAGCATCAGTAATTTTCTACCTAGCTTATAACCATAGATGTGGAACTGGCCCACCTCCAGTAGTTTCCAGGTACATTCACATTTTCCACAGTAAGACACTGGCGTTGCACTTCCAAGTCTGAATTATGGCAGATGCCACTGGGAGGTGATTTTTCAGACAAAAACAATGTACGTAACGCTCCTTTCTTCAGTTACACGCATACGCCCTAGCGCTGCTTTTCCCGCTTTATAGTACTGTCATAAGCCAGGCATACTACTTTACTGAGTCACGTATTGGTAATTCATTCAGCACAGACATCCTGATTGTTTCATATTGAGCATAATAAAAGAAAACTAAGCAAAACCAACTGAAGCCCCAGAGCCTTTATGCACAAGACTGGGCTGCCACCAATATCATGCTGTCACAGAGAGGTCTCCAGTTGCATGTCATCAGTTCATGTTTATGATATGCTATGGTATAATTTAGCAAAGAATAACTTTAAGAATCAGCTGGGACTACTTGTCAGCTCAACAAACCATGTCTCAGATGAAGATATTTCTGCTCAAGCTCTCGTAGATGCTCAACGACTGTGCAGCCGGCTCCACTTCTGCAGATTAGAAGCAACTATCCCGAACGAAGGAGGAAACATTACAGAAATCCAACCTCTCCCATCAAACCTCCACACCAACCCAACTCAGATGGCTTTGCCACTGTAACTGGGAGAGGAGAGCTGTGGCTGAGAAATGCAGTCCTGCAGTCACCTCGCAGGAGAAAGATAGTTAAAAAGTGAGACAGGTGGATGTACCTATCACCTTCTCCAAAGTGATTAGTCTTCCTGCACTTATTTGCAAGGGAGAATCTGCAAAAGTGTCTTGTTGGCCTGTTCACAGCTGCCATGACCCCACCAGCCATTTCAGCTGACCTCAAAGTGTGTCACCTGGGAAAAGGATGGATGTGCATACTTTGAATTTCAACCATGCTTAATTAGCAAACCTTTCTGTACAAGTTCAAAGAGTTATAAGAAATGGATAAAAAATCTCTAGTACAAGACATTCATTAGCATGCATTCTCACCTAGTAAAGACAGTATCTTTAATCTTCCTTTTTATATTAATCTAGATTACATTTTATTTATCAAACCTACCATATGAATAACATTGTATTACCCTTTAATTTCACCAGGAGATGTAGCTACTGAATGTTTTATTAATGACTTGTTTTTTCAGTAGCTGATATATTTTTTCAAGGCAAGTTGTGCAAGGCCTAACTTAACATAAAAACAAAGCAAAGGAGGAATGTTGAGCATGTTAGGGTGGTAGGTAACTATCAGTATTAAAAAAGTTAACAAACACAAATGACGTCGTACATCAGGTTCTTGTTCTTTTTGCCATTTCTGTAATATATCAATAACATTATGAAATCCACATGCTATCAAAGTGATAACAAACAAATGTAAACCATCATACATACTGATGCATGTTAGTTTTTCAATTCCTATCAGTTAAGTTCAACAAAAAAAATCAAGACAGCTGAAGAGCCTGACCCTAATTTTGCAAGCTGATCCATGCACACAGCTTTTAACTTAAGACACAGGAGCTCTGGGAGGATGCAAAATCTGTGCTGGTGGATCACTTTACAGGAGGGATCCTTTTTTTAGGAAAATCTGGACTAATTATGCTGACAAGTGGAAACTGGTTACTCATGAGGTTAAACTATCTGGAAAGCAACTACGTTATACTACTTGCTCACAGACCCTGTATAAGACTGTTTCCCCAGAGCAAAATCATTAAGCTGTGGAATAGCTTCATTCAAGCATCTACAACTTGTATAATTGCAGATTATTCCCTTAGGCCCTATAAAAACGTCTTCTAGCTGCACAGTTTAGAAATTAATGAATAAATATAATGGTATTTCAAAAATTTGCATCTACTCTAATCCTCTTTTAGTCTACTGTTTTGTTTTGCTAACCATTTACTAGAGAATGAAATGGCAGAAATCTGAGTAATTTTGGTTGCATTAAAATACTGTATATAAACAGGAAAAGTCAGAATAAGGCATTCTCAACACAAGCTTGAGAAACATACATTTTCATGCCCAGCGGAACTAACATTTCAATTTCTTCCCAGTAGTGGAATGTTTTTTGCATATAAATCCCCAAATACTTTTTGACTTTTACAGATAAAAAGCATTATTTTGTACATGAGTTTTAAAAGCATTGACTTAGTATTTCCTTCCATTTCGTCTGCTGCAGGACTATGAATCTGGAAGGAAGCTGTTCAAAGAAACGACATACAGAAGACACCTACTTCCATAAAACCAAATTAAACAGTATTTTGTTTCAAATGCCATCTAGAAACACTGGATAGATGTATATGAAGTATACACATTACGGTAGGTAGTTATTCATCCCCATGTTTTCACCTGCCGGTATTACTGCAAATAACACTGTTTCCATGACATGCCTTATGGAACAGTTTACTATTTTCATAAGCAGTCACATGCATTGAAGGTAGGATCACCAGCCAGTGCATTTGGCACCCCAAAGCAGAACCAGAGAGGCCAAGCTTACAAATCTCTCTTGCTGAATGACAAGTTAGCTGGTGTATGAAATGACAGATCTCAGCTGAAACAAGGAAGCACATTGACCTAAGACATTTCTTCTGGAGCTGGTTCTGCTTCCTGAGTGGGTTTTTCTTCGGGTTTGCTGTCATGGACAGGAGATGGATTACGGCTGGGCTTGTTGCTGTCGTGCGTGCTGTGACCGCTGGCACTGCCGAGGCGAGTTGATGCCACCACAGCTTTCACTGCAGCCTGAAAAAGAGAGGATCAAGCAAACATTCCTTAAAGAACACGGTCTGTCAGCACTGCAGCCTTAGCATCATCCCACTAGGGAATATAACCGCATTTAGTCTTCATGATAATGTCGCATTTGGATACCTGCCTGGGCCTGGACAGATTTAGAAGGCCACCTGAAATACCAGACGGAGGTTTAAAATTGCTGCTTTCACAAGGTTACAAGCTGGCCAACATGAACAGAATTTTTTTCAGCTGCACATGCTGCATTTTTTTTTAGAAACTACTTCAGATCTCCCATGTTGAAATTAGATGGCAAAAAGAAAGTTATCTTCTGTCATAATAATAACAACAGTGTTATCACTGATTATTCCATGAAAAGTTCAGAAGGGAAACAACATTTATCAGTATTGCACTATTGCATATGGTGCAGTGCATAAGGGCAACTTCCTATATATATATGTATATATATAAAAAAATACACATTGGGGATTGCTCTCATATCACATAAAATATCACAAAATTAAGACATGCATTAAGACAGTTATCTTAGCCCTTGCCTTGAAGAGTTTTATTGCCTGAAAAAACAAACATACAGAGGTGAGGAAAAGAAATACTAATATCTGTGTATGACAACTTTACGTATTTTTGACTTGGGTAGCTTTTTGCTTAGGCATCACAGAAGCAGCAGCTCTGCAGGAAGGAATTGAGGAGTACAGCAAGTTTTGTGGATGGTTTGGAGAGGTAACCATGCAGCAAAAAAAACAAAAAAAGAAAAGAAAAAGAAGATGCTAATGAAAAAACAGATAAACATTGGCAACAAAGAAGTATCAGCTAAGATAGAATATGAAGTCAAAGTGCAAGGCAAACTAAAAAGTGGCAATAATTTTGAAAGTGAGATTACAGATTACAAACAGAACAGGCCACTTGATATTAAAATACATAAAGATACTTTTCATGTAATTTACTCTCCCTAGCCATGTGGATGTTTGTGAAACAAATTCAACACAATCTATGAAAAACTAAATCATGACTGACAGCTTTAAAGTTATTCTATGAAAATAGGTCTTTACGTAAAGAAAGCCTGCTGCTGGACTCGCATGTTTAGAAAGAGAGGACAATTTTATATTATTCTTATTAACAAAACAACTAAAGCATGTATTCACTACCTAGTTTTCTGCTTCTTATTTTTTGGACAGAAATTCATTGTCTAAAAAGTTATGGTTCATTTTATACATAGATATATGTGTAAAGCTATTAACTCTAACTGCTAACTGTAGTTAATTCTCTTAATTGGAGATTTGGTCATTTAATCTTTAATAGAAAAGAAATGAAGAAATAAACAGAAAAAACAACAGCTTTTAAACACCGAAGTATAACCTGGTTGACTATAGGGATCTAAATAAACAGGGCTTCAGAAAAATCTTGCTGGTGATCAAAGGTGTAAAAATATAAAGAGAATCAAAACATGCAAAAAGGGCACATGTTTCTTTGTGACGTCCTGGCCAGGGAATGTAACAGCTCACTCGAAATAATGAAATTTATGACTGACATCACTTTTGATATAACAACACTGCATGGCATCTTCAGTGAACACACAGCAATCCTGCTGTATGGCTACAGAAATCTTTCTGAAGAGAACAATGTTAATAGACACATTTAGTCAGTTCTGCATGGGCAAAGCGTCACTGTGAATTATGGCTACAGTGTCTGAGAGCTTTGTAAATGACAAAACTTTTTTCTTTGCCCTGCAGAGATTCTCTGTCACAGTTCCCTAATAATACTGAAAAAAAGGAGCAAAACCAAAGTTAAGGTTCATTGTTTGTGACTTTGGTTTTGCAGAGGGGTTGTAAAGCTCTCAGAGAAGGTGCTTTTTACTCTTATTCCCCAGGGCTACAAGGGCAACTTCACTGTAGCTGTTGGTAATAATTTCTGTGCTGAATTATCCCTGGAAGTCTCTCCTAAACAGACACAAATCTTTAATAACTGAAGAAGGGATTAGGGGAGAAGAAAGTTTCCTGATGTTATGTCAGTTAGATGCTCAGCTGCCTGCCGTTTGCACCTAAAAATGTTTCCCTGCTTTTTCCCATGGTAGATACGTAGACTAGACAGTAAAGGAGCATACTGGTGACTTAAAACCTAATGTTATTTTCCACACAGGTCCCACCTGCACTGCTGTCTTGCAGCTAATTTGCAGTTAATTTCCAGATAAAGAATGCTATTGCATGTTTGCTCTCAGAGGCACTTGGAAATGTATGTTTTGGGCCTGTTAATCTCAACCCATACATTTTACAGACCCACACGTCTGAAATGCTGACTTCAGATCATACAGAAGGATGGCTTAAGCTCCTGCTTTGTATTGACAGGTATAGAAACTGATGGTGGCTTACAGATCAAAATATTTAATCTACTATAGCATATCTTCCAGTTTTATGGATGCTCATGAAGAAACTACTCAGAATTTTGTACTTTCTGGTCAATACTTTAAGGATGCACAAGCAGTACAGGACAGATGGATGAACTGGATGGATGAACAAAGAAAAAAGGGGGGAAGAAAGGAAGGAAGGTAAGGAATTTGTGAAGGCTGTGTACATTCTCAGCAGTTCTGTCGGTGTAGATAGAGTTTTCAATCAACCTCACACATTTTTATTTGTTTGGCTGCAAACATTGACTAAATCAGCTTCAACTTTTTCATCTTCATCAGTCGTCTTAACTATGAACTTCCATACCACTATGGAATGTTGTCCTGAAAAGTGTGCAAGTTTTCTGTAAGGCTACTAATTTAATTGCATGCTTTCATAGCCAAAACAGAGACTATGTCCAGAGACTTGCCTTAAGTTTACGCCGGGCATTGAATTCTTGAAGTTTCTTTTGTGCATTGTCCATATGTGCGAAGTTAGCCGCCTTCCCTGTGACCCATGGGTGCTGCAAAGCCTGTAGAGTGGTGAGGCGTTTCTTGGGGTCTAAAACAATCAACTTTTTAACCTGCATCACAAGGAAGAAATACAGAAGACTGTTAACCTTATTCTTCATTTACATTTACTGAGCTTTGCATTTTGGGGCTTTGGTCTTGGTTCGGGAAGCATCTTAGTGAAACACATTCTAAGAAACCAACAAGAATTTGCATTCAGATCTTTGCATGTATTTTGCTTCTGGCATTTCTTGGTCCTCCATAAATAACATCTGAATAAGACAGCCGCTAAGGGGGAAGAGAGGAGAAAAAGAATTAACCGGTTACCGCCATTTATAAGAGTATGTACCAATGCAGCTGGCCTGTATCTGCCATAGGCTGTTGTATGTCTGAATTGTCACATAAACCCTATGAGATTCTCAAAATACCCCCAGCCAGTCAGCTCTCTTAGCAGTATCCCCACTTTTGGATTTGGACAAGGTTTAAACTGGATTAGAAACTTTAAATTGTAGTCTATGCAGCTTATGCAGACTTGTACCATGCAGTCACTGTCAGGTACCTCACAAATGAAATGTTTCCTTCAGTCACAATAAAACCTCAGGTACACATGAACTAAAAAGTACTGTACAAGTATTTCCCTCTTAGCCCACTTTGAAACTAATGCTGTTTATGCCATTCTTTCTGATATTGAGACCAGGGAAGCTGCACCTCTCCAAACACAACAGTAGGACATTTTTGGGAACAAGGGGCATACCCTTGGGAGTGGAGGTGGTACAAACTACTGGGTCCAAAGTATGTCCCGTCAAGCTGCATTTCATGGGTTTTGCTGGATGTCTGGACAAGTGGTGTTTTAAAAAAAAGAAGGGTGAGGATGGAGTAAAGAAGTACACAGATGGTACTCAGCAGAGCCACACTTACACAACTCTCTTGACTGCATACCCTCCTGGAGCAGAGTGCAAGCGATGGCACAGGGCTCCACCACTGCTATGTGCCCCACCGTGAGGGGAGGACTTGATTTAGGGGTCTTTGAAATTTCCC